ATATGAAAGTCAATTAAAATGTTTTTATTTATTTTTTATTTAATTTAACCTTTATTTTAACAGGCAAAACATTAAAAACTGTTTCTTATTTACAATGTTGGTCTGAGATATACCGATAAATATAAAACAGGAGATAAAGTTCTCCTTTTTTAAAATGATTTGGTGCATTTTAAGTGTATTTCTGATGTGGTTCATATAATTCTGCTTTTATTTCTAATTATGTCAGTTTTGGTCCTCCGTACTGCAGGAGCCTGACATCATCTATTCATTCATATCAGGTGTGATGGAGCAGAGAAACAAGTAAAACATGCAGGGCTGCGYCCCTTCAGGACCAGGATTGCCCATGCCTGTTTTAGAATCAACCTGARTGAAGACGTCCACCAAATTAAACTGACCTTAAAAAAACACAAAAATGGCTGTAGCTCAGCCAGTTTTACTGATATTAAACTGTAATCTGAGGTGGGTAGAGTTCTACCCACCTCTTCTGGGTCTCAGGAGGATAAAACTAGACGTATTAGATATTAAAGTGAAATAATATAAGATAATAAGATCCAACTAATGCTAATGAAATTGCATACTTTTATGTGTTATTTTTAAAAAATCTGCACAAGCTTTTAATAAATATCAGTAATATTTATGTTATTAATCATTATTCTCTGTTCATCATTCTGGTTTATCCAAGGCCAAAGATCCAGAGGACCAAACTACAGGAGTTGTCCATCTGAGGGGCAGGTGTCTAAAAAAATGTAACCGTGAAATGTTTAAGATGTTTATAAGATGTTCAACCCTTAAACCACATGTGTCAAACACAAGGTCCGCAGGCCAAATGTGGCCCACAGGTGACTCCCGTGTGGCCCGCCAGGGGGGTCCCCTCCCAAAAAAAAGTTATTTGTTTTTTTTAACTTAACATGAAATTTGTTTCCTATATTAATGGTAAACTTTAAATTTATGTTTAAATGCAACAAAATTAATTTAATAAAAGTAAATGAAATAAAAATAAATTAAAAATCCTGCCCCTGAGCTGTTGGCTTGAAGTAACTGAGCAAGTTAGTTGTATAGCTCAGTACTAATGTCTGAAAATAAGCTGCTTTAAAGTCACCATCAAACATAAACTAAATCTGCCATAATGCAGCTGCTCACCATAAACTCATCAGTGACTAAAACTTTTTTGTTTTACTTTTAATAATATTTCTGTATTTATTACAGATTTAGTCAGTCATACACTTGGTTCTTATCAGTGTTTAAAAGAGGACGTGTTAAAACTCTTTTTAGTCAAAGTTAAACATGAANTATTACAGATTTAGTCAGTCATACACTTGGTTCTTATCAGTGTTTAAAAGAGGACGTGTTAAAACTCTTTTTAGTCAAAGTTAAACATGAAAGGTCAAAGTTCATTACCTTACCATAACGCTCATGTAGCCCTCAGTGAAAATGAGTTTGACACCCCTGCCTTAAACATTTGCACTTAGAATTTTATAGAATCACTTTAAATACTTTTCAGTAAGTTAATGTCTACAATTCTGGTTTAAATAAAGAACTTCATGTTTACTGATTGTTAACTAATTATTTTCGAGTTAATATTGCCTTAATGAACAGTGATTTTAAAAAATAACCTGTAAAACTCTGATGTTAAATGCAACGTGGTTGAAAATTTGGGTGCACCTAGCTTTTGTGCTGGTGCACCTAAGAAAAAATGTTAGGCGCAGCAGTGCAACCGTGCAAAAAGTTAGTCTAGAGCCCTGATTTTAGCTGCAAGACTTGGACCAACATTCACAAAATAATGATTAAATCCAATTACAATTTCATTCAYATCATGTATTTCATTGTCTTCCTTTACAAAGMACTGTGGAATGCCTGAATTTACTTTATGCTTTTTCAGAACACCATTCATTACTCGCCATGTTGCCCTCACATCACCATTTAATAAATCACTGTAATATTCCCTCTTATGCTTTCTTATAATACATACCAACTTGTTTTTATACTTCTTATATCCATCTCCTGATTCGTTTGTTCTTAATTTCAAAAAGCATGAGTATAAGTGATTCTTTTTTACAAGCATTTTTTAAACCTTTTGTCATCCATGGTTTGTCGACAGTATTTCTCTTTGTATCATTGTTTTTTACACAATTCTTTTCATTCAAATCTTCTATAATATTCAAAAACACATCATATGCTTTGTTCACATCATCAACAAATACATCCTTCCAGTTTTGTTTCTTTAAATCATCTTTTAATTTATTCAATTCAATTCAGTTTATCTATATAGCGCCAAGTCACAACATTCTCAGGGCACTGTACATAAAAACAATAATCTAAAGAAGAAACCAGCAGATTGTGTTGCATCATTTCATCACAGTCTCCCATCCTGAGCAAACAGTGGAGAGGAAAAACTCCCTGCTAATCAGGAAGAAACCTCCAGCAGAACCAGGCTCAGGACAGGCAGCCATCTGCCTCGACTGCTTTTCTTGATGTGTCCATTAGTTTTTTTCATGATTGGAACTACTTTTGTGCTACTTTGATCGTTTTTATAAATTGTAAAAATTGGTAAGTGATCTAATATCCAGAAGTTTTACCCAAGTAAGAGTAGCGATACTTCATACTAAAGTTACTCAAGTAAAAGTAAAAAGTACTGCGTAGTTAAAATACTCCTAAAAGT